CTAATAGCTATTGGTTGAATTTTTATTTATTTGTATTGTTTATTTCATTACATTATTTATATATTTAATATCCATTAAAAATTAATTTTTAAAATAGAAAAATGTTATCGTCTATGTTTAGAGGAAAGAGCAAAAGTAAAGCTACTGTTGATTCACATCCTCCTCCTCCCCAGTTTCCTTTTTTTTTTTTTTAATGAGCAATGAAATATAGAATATTTGGATGAGCTTGATTCGTTAAATCAAAATCAATGTCCCGAGGCTCCCGACAATGTAGAAGATGTAAGTTGAAAACAAAAAGCTCCTCAAATTCAAGCCTTAAGATCCGATATTTTCTCCGTTCATTTTATCAAGAAAGCAACTGAGGTAAGTAATTGTTTTCAAGTTATTTGTAATTATTGTTCTAAAGTTTATAATTACAAGAAAGGGGGAGAATATGGAACATTTACATTCTATATCGAGAAGAAATACCCTTCTAAAATTGGAATAACTACATCACAAACATAAATTCGAGGACAAATGCCGTCATCCATTTCCAAAATTGGAGATGAGGTAAGTACCCCTACTTTATTTAAATATAGTGATATTACTGCTAGAAGAGAATTAACTAAGTTAGTTTGTTCTAAACATCTTTCTTTTAGATTCGCAAATGATTTACACTTTGAAAAATGGGTTACTAATGCTTACAATCCTTCGGCTAGAAGAATATCACGCTCGACACTCACCCGTGATATTGATATAATGGTTGGTGAATGGAAATTAGAATTAATTAATATGTTTAATAATTTTCAAAATAAAGTTTCTATATGTTCGGATGTTTGGAGTAATCATTGGCAAGAACATCATTATATGGGCATTACATGTCATTGGATTGATAACTCATGGACATTACAAAAACGTTTAATTGCATATAGAGAATTTGATGTAGAACACACCGCAAAAAATATTTCTTACAAGATACGATCTATTTTGCAAGAATATAATTAACTTACAAAAAAAATTCAATTTCATTTGATAATGCAAGTGCTGATATGGCTGGTTTAAATTCTCTTATTGAATATTGTCAACCATCAATTGGTGGTAAATTTTTTCATATTAGATGTTTTTGTCATATTTTAAATTTATATGTTCAAGATGATTTATATTGTTTGAAAGAGCATGTACATCCTATTAAACAAACAATTTTTTATCTAGTAAGACATGCATCATTATTAAAACGATGGAAAAGATATTGTAGACAAAATAATTACAACAAAAAAAAAAATCGGTTGATATTTCAACTTGATGGATTTCTACTTATAAAATGCTACGTGGTTCATATGAATATAGAAATGCACTATATGATTTTTTTCTCATGAGAAGCATATGAATGTAGTTTTATTTTATTTCTACAAGAATGGGATTCATGTTCAAATTTGTGTGAAATATTACAAGTTTTTAGTGATACTACTACTGAATTATCTGGTATTTATTATCCTACTTCTAATTTGGCTATAAATCATTGTGTTAAAATTGCTTTAATATTAAAGGAATCTTCAAATAGTTTGCTTCAAAATGCTATTGTTTCTATGAAACTTAAATGGTTTAAATATTTTTTATATTTACATGATATATTCTTAGTTGCTAAAATACTTGATCCTAGAGTAAGATTAGATGGATTAGAACAATTGCTAACATATTATTACGACTCATTATTTCCTGAAAAAGATAATGAAACCCCTAACCCTACTTCAATTGCATATGGAGCAAAACAATTTTTAATGGATATTTATAGAGAATATAAACAACAATTTGATGCTTGTAGAATTGATCTTAACCAAAATATAGATAGTAGTTCGGGTGTGTTTGTTTGGGGGTTTGGATTTTAGATTAGGATTTGAATAGCTGTATGATGTGATATAAATATGTATTGATGTGATGTTTTGAATGTAAAATTGATTTTTAGTATAATATAAAAAATGAAAAATAGGTGTTTGATTTGATATTTTTGGGGGGAAAAAATTTGTGTGAATAGTAGAAATTCACACAAATCCTTCAAACAAACACACCCTAATGTTTCTTGTAGTGATAGTTTATCTCAACCTTCACAACTTTCACTCTTTTATGATTTTTATAATGTAAGAGGACGTAAACGTTCTAAAGAAATTTCAAACCCATATTTAGAATCCGAAACTTATTTAACAACAACTTTTGAATATGGTGAAAATGAATTATAAGAAATTGATATTTTAAAATGGTGTTCTAAAAGAGCATCTACTTATCAAATAATGACATTAATTGCAAAAGAAATACTTGCTTGTCCCGTGTCAACTGTAGCTATCGAACAAGCTTTTAGTAAAAAAAAATTGCTAAAATGGTCCTTTAATGCCAAATTTGCCACACTGGTCCGCCGTTGCTAATGTGGCTGACATGTCATCGTCACGTCAGTGACACATCGAGGACCATTTTAAGGAAAAAAAATTTACTTTCGGGACTATTTTTAGATATGGGTTCATTTAAGGTCCTAAAATGATAAATATGGTACTAAAAAAATAGTTTACCAAGACATTTTGTATAATAAAAAAAAATTCATGTGTCGCTAATGTGGCATCTACATGGCGATGACATGCCAGCCACGTCAGTGTCACGTCAGCAACGGCAGGCCAACGTGGCAAGTCTGGCACCGGAGAATCATTTTATCGAAAAAAATTTTACTTACGGGACTATGTTCAAACATGATACATTTAAAGTTTTAAAATGATAAGAGAGTCCGATACCGGTGTAAAAATATTTTATCCAAAAAAAGAATAATTTAATATAAAAAAAAAAAAAAAATAATACTAATCTGATATATTTCAAAAGAGAAACCTGGACACGAAGCAGGTTTGTTTTGTGTTTTGGTTTGAAAAAAAAAAATAATATGAGGTGTAAAAAAATGTGTATATAATATAAAAATAAGACATGTGTAGTATATTAATTTTTTTGAAAATATGTTTTAAAAAAAATTTTAGAGAAAAAACAATCTCAAAGTACAAATCCACCCCACTTTATAACATATATTCTAAATAATACTCACTCTATTCATTTTGAATGTATATGTACTCTTCGAGAGTTTTATAATAAATTAAGAAATAATTTTATTTTATTAGTTAGTGCAAGTGTGTAAAATATTTTAATATTTCTTTTTGTATAAATTAATTGGATGTTTGTAAATTGAAGTAAAAGTTAAAAAGTATTTTAGTATTAACATATAATTACTTTTACTAAAATATGAAAAATGTACTTTGGAATTGGACGGACGAAAATCGTAAAAAAAATACTTTAAATTGGAACGGGAAAAATATATTACACGCATTCGTTATTTTTTATATTATATTCACAATTCTCTGTACCTGACATAATATATATATATATCCTTAAACCATTTTACAAAAACAAACACACCATCAGATTCCGTTATAATTATATCGATTTTTTTTTTCATGCTTAGTTAAATTTATATAGTAAATAATTTTATTCAGTCACAGTTTTATTGTTTTTATTTTAATAATAATAATCAATTTCTCATTATTTTTTAATTATCACATCATATTTTTATCAATTTTCTAATAAATATTCTCTAATCCACTTTACTTTTTATCTATTCTACTTATATACTACCTCCGTCCTGGGTCAAATGACTCATTTAGTTAAAAATACAGTATTTTAGGTAATGTAAATTAATAAGTTATTAATAATAACTTGTGATATTATTTTATTATTTTTTTATATGATTAGTATCGTTGATATTTTAAATATTTTTAGTGTTATGTCTTAATAAAAATATATACAATAAGGATATTATTTCGTAAATTATAAAATTTTATATAATACAAATAAATATAAAAAACATACTACATCTGTCCAGCTCTAATGGTTCTATTTATTTTTTACATATTGAGTTTTGAATATTAATTATTATATAAAAACGTAGTACAAATTAAGAGAAAATGACAAAAATATTTTTATTAGTGTTTTATAATACTCTTATAATGACATTTGTGCAAAAAATTATACAAATATAAGAATATTTTTAATGTTAAGTACAATAACGCAATGGTAAATGAGACTCTTAAAGCCGAACGAACAGAGGAAGTATTTATTTATTTATAAATAACTTAAAACTAATTTTATTAAAAATAAGAAATTTTAAATATAAATAAAAATATTTATTTATTAAACAGAAATATAGAAAGTGAATCCTGTAAACTGATAGAAATTTAATTTAATTAATTTATATTTTTTAAATTTTTTAAATTAATAAATTTACTAAAAATAAAATAAAATAAATATTTTTTATTTGATAAAAATAAAGGTCATATGAAACCGAACATAGAAAATTTTAAAATACTAGTCTCTTTGTTCCAATAGAGTTGTCTTGTTTATCCATTTTCGTTCGTTCCAAAACAATTGTCTTGTTTTCTTATTTAGTAATTGTGGTTCCCACTTTATAACAAAATTATTCCTCATTTTCCAAACTATCGCTAATTATTACTCTAACCTACTTTTTAAAATCATTAAAAAAAAAAATAGTATTTTAGTCTTTTACCTTCTACTTTATACTCACTTTTAATTAAATATTATTATTCTTTAATTACGATGACAACTCCCAATAAGCTTTTTTGGGATGGAGTGAGTATTATTTTGTAGAACTTTAAATGAATCATATCCTGTAAGTGAAATTTTTCACTAAAATGGTCCTCCGACACATCTGACATGTCATCACCAGGTAGATACCACGTTGGAGGATCATTTTAGCGAAAAAAATTTAGTTAAGAGACTATTTTTAAACATGGTCCAACATGATAAAAGGGATACGGGACTAAAAAAATAATTTACCCAATTTTTTAATTTTCGTGTACAAACATAATGACGTAATTACCCTAAACAAATGGAGTATTTGTATACGACTGATTTAATTTTTTTTTCATATCTCATGCATATTGAAAACATATATATTATTTTATAAACTAAAACTCAAAACAAACACGAAAGAAACACATTTCATCATCTTAATACAATACATCACATCATAAGATAAGATCATTTCGTCTCAAACATCACATAGTCGCATTCCATATTTCACAGAAAATAAGGATCACTTTCATAGACCATATAGTATACAACAAACAAACAAACAAACAAACATTCCATAATAAACTTCATACCTTGGTTGCGAACGCAAGACCCTCCGCCGTCAGTTCTTCCAGGCTGCCGACGGCGGGCTGCCCGCGGGCAACTCTCGCGATCGCCGTGTTCTCCTCCGGAGTTCCGCTCTCCAAAAACGCGCCGACGACCTTCCCGTCTTTGATCCAGTACGTTCCAAATTTGTGGCTAGACGACGCAGGATCGTTGTCCCCGAATAAAACAGTCTCGCCTACATTGTCGCCGTAGAATTGCCACGAAAGATCGAAGGCCCGCGAATAGAAATACGGAAGGTAGTCGTATTCGTCGATGGATTTCCCTTGTTCACTAGCGAAGATCGCCTGCAATCGACTCATCAATAAGCTAAAACGCTGTCGATCTTTACAGCCGAGTAAATGTAGCTTGGAAGAGAACTCGGAGAAGTCGATACCTTGACAGCCTGCTCGGCAGATTTACGTGCATGATCGACATGTTCGACTCTTCTATCCTCGTTGTATAATTTCATGGGGAATGTCGCGACGTCGCCCACAGCGTATACATCAGGAACGCTCGTTTTAAAGAAACCATCAGTCTGCGAAACCGACATGTTAGAATATCGACAAGACTTCTTACAAAGCGCGTACAAGAAAATCGAAGCTGCTTGTACCTTGATTCCACCCTTTTCCTCGGCGACCAAACCTTTAAATAGAGTCGTGAGGGGTCTTCCACCGACGCCGACAACAACTATATCGGCTTCCAGCACTCGACCATCCTTGAGTTTGACGTCCGTAACCTGAGAAGAATTTGGACAAGAAGATCGATGAAGTTTCTTGTAAGAAACAATCGACGGCTCATTAGCTTTATGCGAAATGCTTCAGAATTCACCTCTCCGTTTTCATTTGTGCCGAATCCAACTGCTACGGTGCCCTTAATAATATTGATTCCCTTTTTCGCGTAGTAACCTTCGTAGAAGGCAGCAATGCCAGCGGTGAACAGCCTAGGCACTGTAATCGAATGTAAGAAAACGATCAAGAACAGTCCAGTGTAATCGAGCAATCACTATAACGATTTAGAAAATATAGCACATTTGATTCGACTTACTGCACCAAGGCTCGGGGTAAACCATGGTGACATCAATGTTGTTGATTCTCAAAGCAGCGCTCAGCTCCAAGCCGATGTACCCTCCACCAACGATGACGGCCTTTCCATTTTCCTTTGATTTGATTGCTTCGACAAGCTTATCAGCATCATCGATTTCTCTCAGGTAAAAAATGTTTTTGGCATCAGCGCCTTGTACACCGAAGTCAGACAGTTTAATAACCTACCAAAATAATGTATGCATTCAGGCACAGCAGATGCTGCAACAACTCAGAAATGAAGATATAGAGATATCACAATGGAACTTACAGTGGAACCGGTTGCGATAATCAATATCTCGTATTTATAGGTTTCGCCAGCGGCACTGGTAAGGGTCTTGGAAGCAAGATCTGCTTTGGTAATTTCTGTGCTGAGGATCAAAGATATACCTGAAAATTGTCGAATTAATGCCATGTATAGAGTTTCACTTAAAATGTAAGATGTTGTTCGCGAGAATCGCAGTGTATATATATTATCAAAGTCATAACCACTCTTGATACAGCAATTCAATAAGGGGATACCTTTCTCGGTGTACCACTCTGGAAGGAGCCTCTCTCCGCCACTGCCAACACACACATGGAAACCTGGAAGCCTTGCGGTTCCTGAAGATAATAATGCTTAGAGGATCAGCTTTTCGTCGCAAATAACTGATGGATCACAGGAACTTTGATAGTACTTTAGATGGAAGCCTTGATAAAAAGTTTAACTACCTATCTAAAGGATGTGGTTTCAAACATTAGGAGTGGTTAAACGTTGAAATCAATTTCTAAAATTATGTTGTCATAAAAATTATGGTTTCTTGATTTTGCAGATGCATGTATGATTATTTGACAAAAGGTGTTCTCCCTCCCATCCCAAGTGTCCTCAGAAAAAACGAAAAACATCATCCACAATCTAAAGACGTGCACAAAGCTTAGCAAGCTATAGATTCACTCAGTGATTGATCGAAAACAATGCCAAAGCATCTCACCTTCTGGAAATAGATATGCCTTACTAAGTGCCGGCCGTTCATAAGGGGCCACCTGAAACCATCATTGACCAGAGTTATTGATCTTTAAAAAAGAGAGAGTAGCTGCTTTAGCAAACAGATTCATTCTATAGGATTAGAAGAAATACAGAAATATTTAGGAAAAAACACATCTAAGAATGCTCTCAAATATAAAAGCACTGAACCACAGCAACCAAAAAGGCTAAAGCATGCAGACGAAAACTGTTGAAAAAGTGCAAAACCCAAGATGTTAACAGAGACACTTTCAGGTACCAAGAAGAATATAATCTTGTGGGAAAGGATAAAAATTAAAAAATACACTCATACAATTTTGTTTAATTTCACTGTATAAGATAATTGGTTTGTACAGGATATGCTTCCTTTTTGCATTTACTCGCTCAAATACTTCATCTCAACAAAATCCAAAGTCCAATATGACAAAATACTTTGATAGAAAAAAGACAATCCTCAGTACATTAACTAATTTTCTAGGTAAATGTTGTCTCTCTCAAGAAAATATGTAACAAATAATCAAATACTACTTCATAATCATAATTGGGTGCATACCGCCTCTTTGGAAATGATGGCGAGTTCACCAGGTTTAACTCCCTGCTTGGCAAACTCCCTAGCAGCATATCCCTGCAAGCATAAAAAGTTCAAACTCAAATTTTAGGACTACAACTTCTGAGCTACTTCAAATCATTTTGGCAGCTCACTAGCTTTATGTGAGATATGTACGCCAAATTCAAAGCTTAACATAACTACTACCAAAACTAGCTTAACATACCTAGACTTTGAGATGCAGAAACATGAAGAACAAAGCATACTTACACAAATCAGAAGCGCGTACAAACATAGGAAACTAATGCTTATCGAAAGTAAACTGAAGTCAGCAAATAATGCATAGCATAAGGTTTTCAAATCGAGTGACAAACGCAGCACAGATCTGAAAATCTCACTTAAGTTCAATCAAAACCAAAAACAAACTGACCAAAATTAAAGAGGTACACCATCATCGGATCGTTGCAAACAGAAGAATCTCATCAGCAACCACATCAACTCGGTTTTAAAAAACTAATAAAAAACCAAAAATGCTCAGCATCGCGGAAAGTAATCAAACACGTCTTCAATCCAAAATCCCTAGCAGATAACTAATCCATAACTCATCCCGAATAGCTAAGCTTCAAAACACTCAGTAAATCGACGGCGAAGAAAAGGAATACTCACGGCAGCAACGCCACCGCCGACGATCACATACTTGAATGACTTCTCCGCCATTGCACCGATCGATCTCAATTATCGGAGAAACAAATCGACAGCGGATGCTCTCACTGATTGCTTCGTATTGGGAATTTGGGCGACAAAAATGGGAAGGTTCATTACATCCAACACGCCCGTATTTATACTCACATGTATACAGAGGCAGACGATTGTCAATTAGCAATTGGCAATTAGGAAAGGGGTCTGTAGCTGAAATCCACTGCGACTCGGACACGTGTCATCATTGCATCCGTTCGATATGCTGACTTTGAATTTGCGAAGGTTTCTCTATTGCCACATCAGACGTTGATTGTCCAAATTCTTCGTTCGTACATTTGACTGACTTATTCCCATTTTTTAGCATACTAAAAAATTGAAATAAAATAATTCCGATCAAACGATTATTAATTAGGTTAGTGTGAAAAGCATCATAAATAATACAAAAAATATATATTCTATATCAAAATATTAATTACAATCACAAAATGATATTGCCAATTTCGAATTTTTAAAAATAAAATAAAATAAGTTTTGCTTTTTCTGGACTGCTTTGACGGACTCGGAATCTTCGCGTTCACACTTGGGTTGGGCGGGTTCTAGAAGATTTACGTAATGCTAACTGATATTCTCGTTGTACGTTAATATAAGATACATGTCGGTTCGTTTAATTATAAGTTTTAGGAGCGTGAAGTTTTGATAATTTTAAAAGTCTTAGTAAAAAAATTTAAAAACTTTATTTACACAACATATTTTCAATTTGACACTATTAAAAATATTATATCAATTGTACTCTTTTTGTTTATGTCCAAATGGGCTTTTGGGATTTTGTATTAAGTTAAAAAAATAATAATAATATTTTATTAATTAGGATTTTGTATTACATTTAAAAATAATATTATTTTATTAATTAGTAAAAATATGTAAGAGATTTTGACATTTTTGTCATTTGATTTCACGTAAAAATTAAAAGTATTTTGCGATTGAAGTATAATTACTTTTACTAAAATAGGAAATTGATATTTTGAAGTGAATCAGACGAAAATAGTAAAAATAGTATTTTAATTTGGGACGGATGAAATATTTTTTTATCTTATAAAATATCGAATATTAATTTTTTACTATTGACAAATTTTTAAAATTCGGAAGATTCTCTTGTGTAAATGAAGCCTAGGTGTATAATTTAATATTTTGTGAAAAATATAATTATTTAATGTAATAATTTCTATAAAAAAAAACAAAACTTTCAAAAAATATCAAGGTGTGTTTTTTTCTTTTTCAAAATATCCAATATATTTATCCTAAAAAATAATATATTATACAACATTATTATTTTTACATTACTCGTACAATTCTCTATATTTCTCATAAAAAATTATTATACAATCAAAATACAAAACAAACAAACCCTATATAAATAAAGTGTTCAAAGCATTTATTTAGTTCTGTTCCGATATGGTCCTGAATTAGAGATTCAGGATCATCCTGATTCAATTATAACTATAGGATATGATAATAAATAAACGACCAAGATCATATGCATGGATGATTAAGTAATTTACATTATATAATAGATAAAATAATCATTAATTTATGCATAAATTAAGGATATATATAGATGTAATATTTATATATTATTGTGGTTATAATAAATCCAAACTCGATCATTTTCACACCAAAATAAAAAGAAAAAGAAATTATGCACTCTCCGCCAACGTTGATCGATCCAAAAAAAATATATTAGTGAACTTGGAACTTGGAAGAAGATGGATCAAAATGATTTGCATTCCCTCGAGTACTCGCACTATGAAATTCAAGAAAGTCATGAACTCTCATAATTGTTTTTTTTTTTTTTTTCATTTATCGGGAAAGTAATGTAGAGCGAATTTATTTTACATCATATTTGTATTCATTGAACATCATATTATACATATGAATACACATAAATTTATTGGTTATCCAGCAACAAAGGGTCGTATTAAGCGGTACTGAATCATAACCAAAATCGATAAAAAAATACGGATATTCAATTATATGTTGCGAAGCTTTAATTCTACATTATTTATTAAATTCAATAGTTATGCATATAACTTATCAGGAATAAAAACAATCGAAATTATTTCATTGGGTGGATTTAGATTTTATTGTGTGTGAGAATAAATATTACGTAAGTATTGTTTAAAAACAAATGTCATATTTCACGAAATAGCGTGATTAATAATTTTCAAGATAATTCCATTAATTTATTTATATTTAATGCACAAATGTATATTAGGAAGCAACACAGTCAACTTACTAAAAAAAAATGAATATTTCATATGTAAAAAAGATTGCATCATATTGCAATTTATTGAACATCACTGAAGAAATATACATTGAATCTAGTTCTTATAAAACATCATATTAGTATTATGATGACATCATATTTGACACTACTATACATCATTACGTTTTTTATCGATAAACTATTACCTAAAAATTTAAAATCATGATTAATTGATGGTTTTAGAAATCAAAATTGATTTTATTATATTGAGTAAAAGGCATCATATCATATCAAAATTTAGAAGTGTTAGACATTTATAATTCAATTTTATTTCCGCTTAAATTATAGATAATATCCGAAAAAACTGGAGAGTTAATACACCCCTTAAATCAAACCAAATACAATTATTTTATCCATTATTTTAACATCAGATAATAGTATAGAATAAATATTCCGTTATGTGTTGGGTAAAAAAAATATTTAGTATTTACCTATACAATATGTATGCTGAATTGACATCATAATTTTATATACGTATATCAATTCATGATACTATGTGTATCATAACTTACAACGTTGTGATAAATATCATCTAAACTATATCTATACACCATAATAATATAATGTAGGAATCAAACAACAAAATTGATATAGATTCGAGTTATGCATTGAAATGCTAGTTCTATTTACTAAAAAATCAAACACATATAATTTTTTCATCAAGCATCTAAATACAAAACACTTATGGTCGACATCCCAATAATCTATTAACTTTAAAATTGGATTTACACATATAGGCATCGAATAAGAAAAGGTAAACCCCTAAAGCATGTTCCCTTAATGAAATTCCTTAGCGAGTCGCCGCTAGACTGAAATAAATTGTTGTTATTGAAAACGGCAACCTTCATGGGAACACACGAGACTTGTTACTTAGTTTTCTTTGACTTTGGCTTCACCGATGGTTCTTGATGATTTTGAAGGTTGACGTAGAAAAAAGTAGAAAGAAACTAAATTCTGTATGTATTACTTTTTGTTATCAAAATCAGGCTGGAAAGACCAACTTATACACACAGGATATACTAGTACAAAGTAGGGACCACTGAATCCAAAACAAAATAACAAACTCTCACAATTATAACTGAAATGTGATGAATTAGGTACTGCACCAGCACACACACAGAATTATTCCTCATTCTCCATGTTTTAAGTGTCTTCGGTTAACATTCTCCTCTCAAGCTGAACTTGGGAGATACATCCCAAGTTGAGCTTGACACACAAATGCTTAAGAGTATTAGCACTAGTCCCTTTTGTGAACATGTCTGCCAATTGTTGAGATGAAGGAACAAATTGAAGAACAATAGTACCTTTGGCATGGTGATCACGAATAAAGTGACAATCAATGTCTATGTGCTTAGTGCGCTCATGAGAGACAGGATTTTGAGTCATTTGTATGGCTGATTTATTATCGCAAAAGATAGGTATTGGCAACTGAACATTCAACTAAAAATCTTTGAGCAAATAACTTACCCACAGCACCTCTGAAACTGTTGCTGCTATGGCCCTGTATTCAGCTTCTGCTGAAGATTTAGCTACTGTTGATTGTTTCTTAGTTTTCCAAGATATTAAGCACGAACCAAGGAACACACAAAACCCATTCAAGGACTTGCGAGTATCCAGTCAGCACCCCCAATCAGCATCGCAGAACACATGGAGATATGTTTCAACATTAGAAGGAAACATAAGTTGAAAGTTTGCAGTGCCTCTTAAGTACCTTAACACCCTTTGAAGAGCCTTCCAATGGTGAGTAGTAGGATTGTTCATGAATTGAGTAAGCTGTTGAACTGAGTAGCAAATATCCGGCCATGTCATAGTCAAGTAGAGCAATTTTCCGACAAACCTTCTATACAAGCTAGGCTTGGAGAATGGTTCTCCCTTCCCATGTTGTAATTTACCACCAACCACAAAAGATGTGTCACATGATTTAGCTGTTGAGAGGCCAACTTCCAATAATGTATCATCAATGAATTTTTGTTGGGATACAACAAGACTAGTACCTGTTCTTTGAATCTGCATACCAAGAAACAGATTTGCTTGGCCCAAATCTTTAATAGTGAATTCCTTGTCTAAGAATTGCTTGATGTCTTCAATGGAGGAATGGTTGCTTCCAGTTAGAAGTATGTCATCCACATATACCAGCAACAAGATGAGATCTTTGCCTTGATTTAAGGTAAATAGACAATGATCGTATGAAGATTGATGGAATCCAAATTTCAACACTTTTGAGACAAATTCTTTGTACCATTGTCTTGGCGCCTGTTTTAGGCCATATATGGCCTTTGTTAGCTTGCATATTTGACCATCGAGGACCTTATAACCTTGATGAGGGAGCATGTACAAATTTTCATCCAAATGGCCATGAAGGAAGGCATTGTTGATATCTAACTGGTGAACAGTCCACTCCCGGAAATAGGCAACTGCCAGAAGAGTTCTTACTGTGACAACCTTGGCAACTGGAGCAAATGAGTCATTGTAGTCACGACCATGAACTTGAAGATATCCTTTTGCCACCAAACGAGCTTTAAATCTCTCAACACTTCCGTCTGTTTTTCTTTTTATTCTGTAGATCCACTTACTTTCAATAGGTCTTATACCTTTAGGAAGATCAGTTACTATCCATGTATGATTCTTTTCAAGAGCTCTCAATTCATCATTCATAGCATCACTCCATTTCTTATCTTGTTGAACTTGAGTGAATGAGGTTGGTTCTTGATCATGAACAACAGGAACAACATTCCATACTTGCAAGATAGCACCATTTGTGTTGTTTGGATGTTTTGTAACAAGAGAGCACACATTGTCTTTGAGCCAA